ATCGCATGAGCTCCTTTAAAAACGAGAGGCTTTTTCAGACGAGTTTGCAGCCACTTTCTCTGCTGCAAAAAAAAGGCCAACATTAGTAACTGGGAACATTAACAAAAATGTAGGAGGATCCATTCCTGCGGTGAGCGTGGAGGAGCTGACGGGCTAGCACTCGAGTGCTGCTTCTCCCCTAAATAATGAGTATCATCTGCCCAAAATCACCTCTGGCCACCTCACTTCTCTGCCGGGACTTTGCAGAGATAATGCAGATCACCCTGAATTATACACCTGGGTTCGTATCTGAAGAGCGACAGTCCAAGCCACTAATCATGTCAGATACATTTGTACCCATCGGTCAGTGCATGTCCCCACCTGCGCCCAGCCTGCAGACCATGCAAACTGATCCCAGCTCCTAACTATGGAGCCTGCCTCTTTAGCTCAAGCTAACAACTTGCACGTCTAGCTCTGCAGAGCTGATGTTCAGTTCCTGGAAAAAGGCAACATGGTGTGTCCTCTGGCACTTGCATAGGGCCTCAAGGTTGCATTATGACCACTGGTCGGGTCTCAGCTTCTACAGAAGTCCCTGCTTCTCACACCTACCCCGGAAATGCAAAATGCCTACCAAGTCACCAAGCACCCCATCTTTTCCCCAGGAGGTCGTGGGGGATTTTTTTTTACTTTTATTTTTTATTTTATTTCAGTTTTTTTACTTTTAAGATCTTATTTCAGTACAAACAAATATGCCTTGGATGTTCCAGAAGAGCTGAGTTGGTCCTGCTAAAAGTATGTGGATCAAAGGTTCATTTGTTCGGTTCCTAAATTGTTCACAACATCTGCTAGGTCGTTATTCTCCGGCAATGCTTGGGAACTCAGTATAAACATATTATTTGGAAGAAAACAGCAGCACAGCATCTCTCACATCTCCTTTACAAGACGCATTATTTTTTATTGCTCAGAATTACAATTCTTTTACTCAGAGACAGTTTGGTGAGATGAGCAGCGGAGCAGACAGTTCAGGAAGAGAAGTGGCCCACGCCCTACAAATCTTTATCGCCAGTGCTGCAACTGCAACAGGCATTTTTTTGAGGTTAGAGAAATCGTTCGCTTTTGTGCTTGTAAACTTTTACCCCTCTCTGCGTTTCCAGGAAATTATGAGATGCTGTGAAAGAAGCATGATTCAATGCTATCCGGAGTAGACGCACACCAAGGAATGCCTATGCCTGCAAGAGTCAAGTCCGGATTCAAACTTTCCCTCGGTTCAGAGGTGTGCAGCACCGGACCCAAAGAACAAGCGTGGACGGAAATTATGCCAGGTTATGCAAAACTGCATCCACGCATTCAGATCCAAACTCTTCCTACATTCAGGAAAGTTCAGGAAAGGAGCTCACATACACATACCCCGGCATAAATCACATCTGTTTTGTATACTGATATAAATTGCCCTGGGATCAGAGAGATGCAGCCACGATTGAGCTTTGTCAGTAGGTGGCAAGAGAGCAAGTAACAGCCTCTTTGCCGTTAGCAAGCTCCCCCGAACAAGGACACGCTGTCTGCACCGGTATAGCTTATGCCGGATTTCACTTCCAATTCTTTCAAGGGTATTTCTCCAATGGACTGGACAAAGTAACCCTGGGCTAGAGGTCTGCATCATCTATCCACTCCTTTATCTACACTAATATAATGGGGATGACAATATATCTATATAACTATATCTATATCTCTATCTCTTTTAGATAGATCTATAGATAGAGATATAGATACATAGAGATATCTAACTATAGCTAGAGATATCTATCTATATATCTATATATATCTATAGATCTATCTATAGATAGATATATGTATCTATATCATCCACCCAGGCCTCACCTCAGGTCACCTGCTCAGGCCCATTATAGTATCATAGTACTTAGGGTCGGAAGGGACCATCTCCAGTTTCTGCTATCATCATTATTACCATAATTATTATTACTACTACTACTATTAATATTTAGATTTTGATTCCTACCCAGAAAGGCTCTCCAGCAATCATGGCTCGCTGTGCTAGATGTTTGTCCGAACTCGCATGACAACTGGAAACAGAACACAGTTATCTCGACTCCCGGTTGTCTACTCTTACCATTACACATATTCCCTCTCTTCAGACCTTTTGATATTATCTTTGCACGTCTTACTTCCATCCAGCCAGTTTCCTCAATGTTCCCTTTAAGCCAAGGAAATGCAGCACAACTCGTTCTCAGCAAACCGCAGTTATTAATTTAAATGCTTGAGACTGCAGCATTTGATTTTGAAGTCCAAAGAAAGGGAGAGCAGGAGTGGTGAGATGGCATATGGTTGTGTCTGAATTATCTGCATCTTTGCACACGTGGGAAGTGCATCTCAATGGATCCAGAGACATCCAGAAGTGCCTGGCGATCGACCCCGTCTAGTAATCGCTTCTTCTGAGGTTCTAGGGAAAAATTCTCTGAAAGGCAAGTGGTTTTGCAGGAGCCATCCATCTTCACTGCTGGCAACTGAGGCAATCGCACCTTGGTGTGGGAAGGTTAAATGAAAGAAAAGCATTAAAGGCACTGCTATAGACTTGGTGGCTCGCTAGCACAGGACCAGGAGCCGTGTCTGCTATGAGAGCTGCCTCCCAGTGCAATGGCTACTGGGGAGTGATTTTGCAGCTCTGCTCAGAAAGGAAGCCCTCTGACGGTCCACTAGACCTAGTCAGAAGCTAGGATAGCAATACTTGAAAGGCCACCACGATTTGCGAAATATCTTTAGCTGTGAAATATATTTAGCTGCTATAAACTGGAGCTTTGAGAGCAAGGAGCAGCACGCAGCGAAGCGAGGACTTGCAGATCTGCTATTTAGGTGTAAGGGGAAAAGATAATGGAGCGAGAGCCTTATGGAAACCGAGGACTTGTATGCTTTCTAGGCTGATCCCAACATCTGAACTGCTTTGAATATTGACTGCACAATAGGAAACATAGGCAGCTTCTAATACAGAAAGAGAAATGCTCCTAGCTGTAAAGACCCCTTGGCAAAGCTTAAATATTTGGAAAAGAGCCAAGTCCACCATTCTTCTCTCACCCCCTATTCCCCCGCACCCCACTCCAGTTTGATCATGCTACAGGGTGAGAAATCACATCTAAAGGTAGATCAGAGAGCGCCGTGTCTGTGTATGCAAATACATAAATGCAACACTATAAGCATGCCACGTTCTTTCGGTAGACATGATCTCTTTTATCAGACCAACTAAAAAGTCGGAAAAAAACGTTCTTTGCAAGCTTTCGGACGCAAACTATGTAGTTGGTCTAATAAAAGAGATCGCATCTACCAAAAGCATCAAAAGCTTAGACCCACACAGCTACAGCCAACAACCCTGCAACACTATAAGCATAAATTTGATGTGGCAAACGTACAGCAAAATAGCAGGAAAGCAGTGGAGGTCTGTATAAGAAGCACCAATCAATTTAATATGACCTAACAATAATGATAAATATTTCCAATGGATTTTGAGCGCACTAAACGGTTGGCCTCTAAGCAATTGCATAGGCCTCTCGGAGAGACGGCGAGCTGTTACTCGCATCTACAGTCAGAGTTTTGGAAACCACAGCGTGAAGACTCGACTGTGTAACGCTCATCAAAAAGCCATGAAAAAATTCAAACTCTCACCCGTGTTTCAGCAAAGAATTAAGCAGAGGTGCAGGACAAGGACATATAATTGACTGGCACATTAATTTAACCCCAGTACCTGCTACATTAGCAGAAGCACTCAGATTTGGATAACTAGAAAGACACCGTGTTGGCAAGTGGCTCGAAGCTGGAAGGGTTTGACAAGCCCTGAAGGCTACTACAGGCCACGAAAACTTAGCATCGCTTTATAAAATGAGACCTTTTATATCCTTACTATTGTTGAAGCAGTGTGCATTATAGTAAGAAAGGGATATCAGGAAACTACACACGCTAAATATTACCTTTTGGAAGGTAAATAACCTTGCCCGACTGCTTAATGCTTTATTTGGGCAAAATGCCCATTATAATTCTAGGAAGTAAGGCATTTAGGATGTGGGTTTTATCCACAAACAAGGACCGTCGACCCATCCCACAGGACGGTCTGAGGCCCTCTTGGCTTCAGATGAGGAGACTAAAAACGGCGTGAATAAAAGAGTAGCAAAGCCAGAGACAGGACCAGATAGAGGAACGAAAGAAAACGCAGTGAGATCTGACAACAGGGAGGGAGACGGACACGAAAATGGCACATGCTGAGGCCACGAGTAAAGCCGAGTGAGAGCTTCCCAACAGAAACATTTCCCATCGGAAAATGCCGTTTTGTTATAAAGAAAATCTTTTGTGCGAATGTGTCCGTTTTGAGTTTTAAAAATTTCAACACAAATATTTCAGACGTCAATCGATGCAACTTTCTCACTATAATTCAGCCAGGATGAAATGATTTGTCTTGCCTTGCTTCTTGAATTTCATGTGGGTTTTTATAATATTTTTAATATCTAATTTCGTTTTTAATATTTAAAACTAAAACATTTTTAGTATTTAATTTTATATTTTATATTCTAGCATCAAGCCTTGGCACCAGCAAAATGTAATGTGTTAATGTTATTGAAACAAAAGTTTTAACGCTTCTAAATCAAAGGTTTTTGCAACTTCTAGTCCATAGAACAGTTGAAATTTGTACTGTTTTTCCCAATTCTGAGTTATTCCCGTTCCCCTGAAAATGTAGGAATTTCCCCACAGGATACAAAAACCTGTTTCTAACCAACCCTAGTTATCAGCCCATTTTGAAATACTGATATCGTGACTCAGGAAGTCACCCTAAAATAGTTTCTGATAGATCCTTATATTGATCAGAGAATTCATTTGACTTTCTAATTATTATGCACTTAGAGATATTTAAGCAACGCTTCAGTTTTTGCCTCAAAGACGCAATGAAGCAAAGTTTCAATTAGCAAAGGAAACAGCTAAATGGAGAAAAAAAAATCTGAGCAGCCAAGTCCTTTATAACTTACCCATTTTAACACTCCACCCACTGTGAAAAACAGCAACGACTTTACTGAAATAGAAAAAGAAAAGATAAGTGTTATCTCTGTAAATTAGCATGCAACTTTTGCATTATAGCACTCCCTCTCCTTTTCTCCATCACAGCGCGAGCCTACGGTATCACTGTGCTACTGGCTGCAAAAGAAAACAGCATTTGCTACATAGCAAAAGCAGACTAAAGCCATGAAACTCAAACAAGGAACTTGGACATATTGAGCATCCTCAGAGACATTCATTAGTTCATTTTCACAGCAGTTAGGTCTACTTTATCATCCTCTCTATTATACAGAGGGGGAAACTGAGCCAAAGAGGTGAGATGACTCAACCCAAACCCACAGACAGGTACGAATGCAAATTAGAACTGAAAACTTCCCAAACTTCGTGTTTGTGAGGCTTGTTCTGCTAACGCTGAATATTGAACGCTCCAAAGTCGACGGGGTTTTGGGTAAGCCTGCACAAATCAGTGGACTTTTGTCAAATTCAGATCTGCAGCTAACGTGGGGATATGTGCACACACACACGTGTGTGTGTGTGTATATACATATATATGCACATGTGTATATATATATATACACATGCACACATATATATATATGCATGTATGTATACACACACACGCGCGTGCTTGCAAGTGTTTGGCTCCAGGGATTTAATGCCATATGGAGCTACCCACTTCAAGGGGTGGGTGGTATTTTTCCCCCCATCAACGGATTAAACTATGATATTCTGAACGAGTTACAACGCTGGAACCGGAGCCCGAAGCCGCTCAAAGACTACCACAGCACAGCATTTCTTGCTCACATTTCATCTCCTGAAGCACATGCCATGTACTCATTGGCAGATACTTGACAGTTCTTAAGTTCCCGGTTACACCGACTGCAATTACCGCCGGGTGATCTGCATGTTATGAATAATAAACATAATTCCTTAAAAAGAAAACGACGCTGGTGGGGGTTTTTTTGGTGGATCTGGTTTTGTTCTGTGAAAGGTTATATAATAAGGCTTAGCGCTTTTCGACTCATTTTCCCAGGGTCACATAGGCCGAGTTAGGAACCCAGTCCAGAAGCCCCAACTGCCGACACCCTGCTCTAATGAGTAAGAAAACGTAGCATTTGTGCTGTGCTGTATATCTTTAAAGCAGCTTATACACATTAACTAATTAGTCCCTGCAGTGACACAGATAAACGATTGCAGTGTTCAAGATTTCAAGTCAGGAACAAGAACGTTAAATGACACGTCCCCAAAACACACATGGATGCAGTACAAGACCTGGAATTAAAACTCCGGTGCGGTTGCCTCCCGCTTCAAGATGACACAGGCCCACATTAGGAAGCATTTGTTTTTCCCTAGGCGCAAAGGGCTGGTAAAGGAGCACGTACCTGATCGCCCGCTCAAATCCAAATCAGAGTAAAAGCACCCAAGGGTTGCTATCCCCTGACAAATGAGTTACATGAAACTATTTGGTGAGCCTTGAGCAAATTGTGTGTGGACAGGCATCCATACCATGATAACTGGCACCCTTGGCATCAGTCTGTGCAGAAAGACCAGGAATGCACTGGCAGAGAGACCAGACATCCCTCTGGGGAAAAACCTGAGGTCCCTTTTGCAAAAGGCAGGCTATTTAGGAAGATTATACTGCAGCTGTGCCTTTGGTATCAGTACTGTGGATTGACGGGTGACTTGAGATTGTACTGTTGGACGCTTTCCACCATTGCTACATTCGCTGTACGTAGCAGGTATTCAGAAAAAAGAAGAAGAACAAAAAAAAGTCAGCGTTTCACCTTAATTCAGCTGACACATCAGTTCTGAGCAACATCTGGAACCCGGACGACAGGGAGCAAAACTGCTGATAATGAAACAGCTGGATTGGGAAAAGATAACGACTGCCGCACTGAAGCGCTTGGGTCTTTGTTCGGCTCGGTAAACACATGATGTGCAAATCAAAACTAAATCGCATTTATTGCAATTCAGAGACAAAACACACCTCCCCTTATCTGGAGAGAACTGTGACAAACAAACCCTGCCGTGAGCCACCGCCGCCTCCCAAAGCGAGCACTGAACAGATCAAGAAAACAGAACCAGAGACAGTTCATCTCGGCGCTGGCTCTTGCCGGAATTAAATCCGCGTGTGTGTTGATACTGAAGATCTCACTGCAATTCAAGCAAATAGCAGCAAACCTCAAAGAACAGGAGAAACCTCACCGCATCCCAAAAATACGCAGTGGCAGCAGCGATGCTGTTGAGGTGCCAACTGGCAGGCAAGAAGCAGGGAACACGGTCTTCTTAAGAAACCTCTTCATTTTTCCCATTGATAATGTGGCCCAATTAGAGGGGGGTGGGGGAACATTTTAAACCTTTCCTCTAGATCAGGGTAAAAGGGAAATAAAACAGAGCTGTCATGTGAAAAAATGAGGAGCTCAGACCACACAGCACAAGAGAAATAAAAATAGTAACAGAGAGAGCAAACTTTTATTTTCGGCGGGCCTTTCCCTATTTAACTGTCGAGATTCAAGGTGAGGTCTGCGCTATTTCAAGGCTAACCATGGAGGACGCAGCAATTACACGGTTGCAGGCCGTCTTCTGCCAGCGCCCGCTCACGGAGAGTTTCAGCTAAGAGCAGTGCGCTTCAGAAGTCGTCTCGCGCGGCAGGCACAGCCCGCCCGCGCCGCTCAACGCCACCGAGGCCAAGAGCTCAGCA